CATTAACTCGAGCCTGAGGGTTGAAATACAAGATTTGCTCGCATACGCGCCTTCTAGGCCTCGGGAGAATTAAATCGGGGACAGACCAGCTAGTTGGTCGTAAAGCATGTTATAGACACACACACGCGTACGGGGAAATGTGTCTCGTGTAAACAAGTGTTTGGTTTTGATGGTGACGCCATTAACAAGTAGGCGATTGGGTTGATGAGGCGTTGGTGAACTTTTGAATGCTTTTTTACCGGAGAGGAGGCGGGAGGGGGAAGGAAGGAAGAGGAGGGATTGGGTACTCACCACTTATAAAGTGGTGGTAACGACCCCCACTAGTCAGTATAAAAAAGCTGGGGAAGGGAATTACTGTTGTGGAACTGGGATCTTCAATAAGGCCCTAATTACTAGATAAGTTGGAAACAAAGCGCGATGGCGTCGAGTTTATTTCAGGATGAATGTCCTGCAGTCCGATAGTTGATAAAGTAGTGAAGTAGGTCAGAAAAGACTTAATATAGCATTTATTATAAACCTGAAAACAGCCTTGAAAAAAGCGGTTTGGGGAAAGTTGAAAAGAAAATGGAAAGTTGCTATGGAGATGGGAAACAGTATTCACAGTGTTCTGGAAAGTGATAACTACTGCGGCAGGTGGGGCCATTTATCGCGTGTCAAATGTCCTCGATATTTTATGACATGGATTTGCACAACTACACCCAAAAAAGTGGACTTCTAACAAAAGACCTCGCCTGTTAAGGGATTAACGTGGCCATAGAGTCTTAAGTTAGAGTTACCAAATGCTATTCGATGCTGAGGTTAAAAAAGAACTCTCCCTAAAATGTAACTGATGAGTGGAAAGAAGATCTTGACGGCAATTTGTTCAATCCCATCAGTCCGTGGCTCCATACATGATTCTCTATTCAAATTAGATAACTGTTAAACAATTTTTAGTGGTCGTTAATAAAAAAATCGAATAATTTATGTATCCGCTTGATCACAGCTAAGTATGGATACCCTGTCCATTTAGTTTATTTAATGTTGTATTTTTACTGTATTCTAAGCAGTGTCAAATTTTGCGTTAAACAGGTTAGAATGTTGAGTTAGGTAGAGACTAAAAGAAAGGAAATTATCTTCAACCGCCCATCATCTCAACGCGTTTAATTTTTGAGACAGACTCTGATTATGCCAAGCAATTTCCGCCGATGTTCTCAGTAAACAATAGTATCACAGCACAAAATTGAAAAAATAAGGGTTAAAACGGTGGGACAACATTATGAAAGAACTTATTAAATTGTATCTTGCGCGTATTACAAATGTGAAAAATGTTAGCACTGCCGTCAAGACATTGCCTTCAAAAAAAGCAGATTTAAAAATCTACGGACAGGGTTCTTTACAAAACTTTTTAGGCAAGTGTTACGCAAAAATGAAAAGTTTAGACAAATAATAGATATAGGAAAAGCAACGGTCGAACAAGGTTGTCATATCGACTAAATTGCAGCAATTGGTGCCAAAAAGTATGCAATGCAGGAAAAACAATAGCACTGTTTTGCAAATAAAATAAAATGTAAAGTCAAAACATGCATCACAAAAGATAAAATTTGGCGTACATCTGAGAAAATCCATTGTTGGCCCATTGACAAAGAAGGATCACACGTTGCTCACAGTTGGCGATAAGCAAAAACGCCGGAAGAAAAAGATAAATAGCTATAAGAAAAAGAAAGTGTGAATAATTTATGAGCAGCAACAAAAAAATTTCTGTTACTATGCCAATGCCATGCTTTTTTACGCGCATCTTAGTAGTTTTCTGCCAATATCATCATAATTAGCAAAAAAGCTCAACGTGACATCAACGCTGTCGTAAGCAATGCATACATTCAGTAATATTTGCCTTCAAACATCAAAATTCACGTACTCAGAAACGTTCAAACAGCGCTGGTCATACAGCTAACCTGACAACTTCTCAGAGAAAAATTATTTCAAATCATGCACTTCCGCTACCTTTTAAAAATTTTAAAGCCAAATTGTCTACATAGATCTTTAGAAAACCTTGCCGGATAATGAATCACACTACTAAGTAAAAATGACTTACGACTAACAAAGAAACGGCCCATCAAAAGTGAAAATAAGTTAGTGATAAGTAGCAAAGAAATCCGGTTCAATACAGGTTTATGAAATATGTTTCAATAGTTGGGATCGGCGTCCCATAGTCTTCTCAAGGCTATTTTGGTGAGAATAAACAAATTAGCATAATGGCAAAAAAAGCGATGTAAAAGCAACAAAAATAGCTTATAGCCTTAAAATTTCTAAACTTACATTTTAAAAATGCTTGCCATTTAAATTTGAGAGACCTAGCTTACGGTTGGCTTCAAACATTATACCAGCTCAGTTTAGGGGTTTGTTACAGAGACGATAATGTAACACGATAGTGGTTTATCCCTCGATTCTCGTAAGGCGCCACTTTTGTACTTTTGAATGAGCCCTCTTGTACCTCGCCGGGTGAGCTGGCCTTTAGGGCCAAGCCAGTAGCCCAGACACATTCTTCATCCTGAATACATATATTCTGCCCGAGTGTTGTGTCTACTTCGTCTTCAGGGCGTCTCGGGACGCTACAATAAGGATTAAAACTAAGATTTTCTAAAATGTCCTAATCCTTTTTTAAACCCATATATTTAAGTAATCACTTATTTCAAAAATGTTGAGGCTTTTTAATTGGCAATTGTACTGTAGCGTCCCGAGACTCCCTTAAGACGAAAGAAGACACAATACTCGGGCAGAATATATATATATATTCAGCACGGAG